CAACTGACTGGATAATTTAGAAAGAACTGAAGATATAAGTAATCAAAAGAAATCAAAAACAAATGTGTGCTGAAATCTAGAGTGGATAGCAGCTGATCCGTGAGTTTTTGGTAGATTTCCTCCTATATTTGTGCAGTCCGTGCGGAGCAGCTGGGTTGATCAGTTATCCAAGTATCTCGGATTCTGTTTGGCCTTCCTCTGTGATCTTCAGATCTTATCAGTTGCGACCAGACGCAACCTCTCTATGTCTCTGTGATTGCATAGAAGTAAGACCTTAGCACAAATCCAAATGGAGCCGCACCGTAAATAGACGCAGCCACACCATTCGGGGCACAACCTAGTCACCAACTCAGTTCTCTCTCAGTCATGCATACATAACATTATATAGCTCTGTCAACTGCGAACTTCATCCCTGTCGCAAACATGATCTGTTTGCATGGTCCCTGCTCCTGTGGTCCTTCCTCGCGTGATCTCTATCAACAAGCAGTGCCCTAATCTCCAATCAAGTACAACCCTAGTCGCCAACTGTAAATACAATGAACGAAAGATGCAGACGAACGGCCTGCTGCTCCTGTCACGCCCTAAGCTAACTCAATGAGTTCTTGTTCCTAATCTGAATTGACTCAGTAAGTTCCTAATCCAAGTTGATTCAGTGAATGGACTCAATGATTCAATGCGGAGCTAACTAAGTTGCAATCTATGGATTCCCTCCTTATGTGACCACATGTTCTAGGTAAAATCTTTCTGACAATTTTTCTTTTCCGATATTAATTACCATACAATTCTTAAAAGCTGTCAAAGATAATATCTCAAGTTACTAGAATAAATCTCAGCATGGCATCTTTAGATATTAGCGAATTCAAAGTGAAAATTGAAAGACTAAGCACTTGACTTGAGTCCCTGAAGAAACAAACAGGTATCAAGTTAATGGCACACTCAGATTCAGCTTCTATTTCGCATGGATTAAACATCTCAGATAAATTTTTAAAAAATTTAGAATTATGAACACAGGAATCATAAATTATATGACCAATACTTCTAAACATTTTCATACATGTACTCCATGTCCAAGCAATAAAAAATTGTTATTGCAGATGGTTGCTTCAATACTATTGCAGGAAAAGCCAACATTGCTTAGTCCAACTCTTGTCCTAAAAAATATATTAAATGTTACTAAACTGTGTTCTAATATTATGTCACTCAATAAATTATAAAAAAATTTAAACTACAAAGTAATATTTGACTTTTCTTAATGTAACTTTCAGGACTAGAATTACAAAAAGATAATTCAACGTGATGAAGTCAGAAACGGATTCTACTATTTACATACACCTAAGGGATCTTTCTCTGCTATTACTATCGACCTCAAACACAATATTTGGCTCCACCATAAAAGATTTGTACACTCATCTTTCCCTGTCTTAAAGATTATGTTTTCCTCATTATTTAAAAATTCGAAATTTACACCAAGATATCTGAGCTTGCAAAACATAAATATGTGATATTTTTCAATAATAATAAACGAAATTTAGTTTCGTCTTTATTAATTCAC